TTTCTTTTCCTGTTGTATCCTTGTCTGGTTTTAGAATTAAGATAGTGCTGGACCCATAGGATGAGTGGCAAAAAGTCTTCAAACTCAACAAGAAAGCAAACAACCTAATTTCATTTTTTAAAAAAAAGATTTTATTTATTTGAAATGTTATAGAGAGGGACACACACACACAGGGAGAGAAGGGGGAGAGAGAGAAAGAGAGAGAGAGATTTCTCCATCCATTGGTTCACTCCCCAAATGCCTGGGGGCTGGACCAGGCCAAAGTCAGAAGCCAGGAACTTCTACCAGGTCTCCCACAAGGGTGGCTGGGGCCAAAGCAATTGAGTCATCTTCCATTGCTTTCCCAGGCCCATCAGCAAGGAGCTGGATTGGAAGTGGAGCAGCCGAGTCGAACCAGCGCCCTGGCATTGCAAATGGCTGCTTTATCTGCTACACCACACAGCACCGACCCCTACACATAGAATTTTATGAGCAATCTCTACCATCTGACCCCAAGGACTTCAGGGATGGTCTCTGAATCTGAGTTCTTTCTATCTAACAATGGCCATTTCTTCCCTACATGCTTAAGAGAAAGGATTCCCTAACTAAGCAGTGAATTTCCTTCTCCACCTTAAATTCGGTTTGAGATTTAAATCTCTACTTCAAGATAAAGCTGTGCCAGTTTCTGTCTGGGAGGGTTTTCAACAATCGCCTTCGTTGCTTGGCTCGTCTCGTAGTTGGAATCCAGGGGAATTGCAGACTTGTAAACCACACCTGTCACACTGCCACCAATCTTGCGGGATGTGTAATTCCAAGGCGCATGGCTGCTGACCAGCTCCCCACATACACACAAAAGGGACAAAACCTGCGGAATCTCCGATCAAATTGTAACAGCAAAACAACAACCCTGAGAGAACAGCTTTATATTCAATCCAACAAAGAGCTGAAATGCTATCTCCTGGGACCGGCGCTCTGGCATAGTGGGTAAAGCCGCCTGCAGTACCGGCATCCCATATGGGCGGGAGGGAATCCTCATAGCACCCCCAAAAGCAGAAGCTGCATCCAGTGCACACTTCCCCTCCTCGGTGCTTTTCCTTGTCAGAGTCCAACTTCCTGGAAATCTGACCCAACCCCGACCCAACCCCAAGAGATCAACCGCTCCCCAAAGCCACCCTAGGGGCAGCCCTGGGACAGAGGAGGAAGCCGGGCCTTGGGGAGGCTGCAGAAGCCCACACGCTTCCCCAGCTGGGCGGACGATTCCAGCAGGTGCCCAAGGTTAGCACCAAAGCCTGGGCCCGCATCTGATTTTCTGGAAAAGGCAGAGCCGGGGATCACTGCCCGACAGGGGAAAAAAGAGCGACGTCCGAGGGAAGTGGCTCCTCCCGGGTCACCCTGGCACCTGCCACCACCGGCCACGTGGAGACCTGGAGGGTTGAGCACTCCACAGAGCAACCACACAGGGATTTTCTCCTGAAAACAGGGAAGCAGAGCAGCCAAATTCAGCAACATTTCCCAGCTGGGCGGAGTGGCCACCATCCTGAAAACCACGATATGAATTCAAAATCGTGGGGTTGAGAAAAGGGCAAACATAGAACTGCATTCAGTAACAGGCAATGGGGTCGAATGACAAGGCTGGGACGACCTGGAGTCCAAAGCGGGTTTTGCTCTTGGCTGTGTCTCCCTGAGTCGTTCGCCTTGGGGCCTTGGGCGAGCTACTCGCCTTCAGGGTCCTGGCCCCCTGCACGCAGGTGCCAGAGCGGTGCTGTGGGGCTTCCCGGAGGCTGGAGACCCAGCGGCAGAGCCTCAGTGGGTGCTCGCTCTGCCCTGTACCGAGATGAGTTCTTATGCCTGCAGCCGGGGAGGAGGAGTGAGGGCTACGGAAGGGCTGGCTTCATGGAATAAAATCAGACAAGATCTGAGGAAGGTAAAAATGGGTGTTTCCTTCTGCCCCTTTTCTGTGGACTGACCTGATAAATACAAGCGCACCTGGGGGCGAGGGTGCAGGGGCTCCTCGGCTTGCGGGGGCGGGGTGGGAGCTGGCTCTCAGCGGGCTTCGTCTGCTCTCTGGGGGTGACTTTACATCTGAGTGAGGTTTCTTGTCCTCATAGCCCTGCGGTGCAGGCTGGGGGCAGGTTCCAGGTTCCCCTTGACCTACAGGAGCTCGGCACGTGCATGGGGAATACAGCAAACGTGAAGCTGCAGCCAGAATCTTCTAGCAATTCCTCCTTCCTGCTGCCTGGCAGCCATTCTAGTCACAAGAGAAGACGAACTTTCATTTCAAAATTAAACTTTGAAATGTAAAGCTAAAAGCAGCAAAGGGATTCTGCGAGCCATAAGGCAGGAGTTCTGGTTTTTGGAGAGTTCCTTGGCATTTCGAGGGTGGTGACGGCCAGGGGAACAGGCTCTGGTGTCTGCACGTCCTGCACCCGCCCCCCCTCGCCCCAACCCAGACCCACGTTCCTCCTCACCCCCGCATGGAGACCTGAGCCTGCCCTCTGTCTTGGTCTCTTTCCCCTGTTGGTATCTCTGATCTGTCTCATGCTGCCTGTGCTGTCCTGTCCTGCCTCCCTCTGCCATGTCCACCTGTCTGTCCTGCCTCCCTCTGCCATGTCCACCTGTCTTTCCTGTGCTGTCCTGCCTCCCTCTGCCGTGTCCACCTGTCTGTCCCCAGCCCGGAGCCACGGATCTGAATACAGAGATTTGACCGCTGGCTCAGTTTTCCCCATGGCTAAGAAGGCTTCACAGTAGTTTGTTTGCACTAGGGCAGGATGAGAAACAGGGGATTGGGGGAGGGGAGGAACAAGCAGTAGACATTTGGCACAGTGGTGACAACCCCGCTTGGGAAGCCCGAGTCCCCTACTGGAGTGCCTTGCTCAAGTGCTTTGGGTCCCAGCCGCCCACATGGGAGACCCTGACTGAGTCTGTGGCTTAGGCCCAGCCCAGCCCAGCAGTGGCTGTTGCAAGCATTTGGGAAGTGAACCAGCAAACGGTGGGGCAGGGCTCAGCCTGGATCTGGCCGCTGGCATTGGGAATCCCGGCTGCTCACGGCCGTGACTTTCCAAGCAAACCCCAGAGAGCCTCGTCTGGAAGAAACCCGCCGTGTGAAGCTGCCAGGACCGGAACCCCCTGCCAGACCCTGGCTGCTGTGGGGAAGTCCCCCCTTCTTTTGGCGCTAATTTGTCCTTTACCGAAGTGTGTTGCTAGGATTCTCTGGAACCCAGAACAACCAGCAGCCCTGGGCTGTGCGAGGTCTGGGCCCACCTACTTCCCACCACCCGTTCGTGAACTCGACTTTGAAGCCTTGGAGGGTGCCTCAGCGTCTTCCAAACACCCGTCCGCTTCCCCACCCCCCAGCTTTGCCTCCTTCCTCCTGGAATCTGAGAGCTCCGCTTAGAACCGCCCATCAACTAAGCATCCTGAGAAACCCGAATGCAGCGGCCTCACCCCGGGGTCACCCCTGTGCCCCGCACTGAGCTCTCACCTGAACGCCCACGCTGCTTAACCAGACCCGGTCCCAAGTCCCTCGCGACGCTTCTGCGGATGTTGCCGCGGAAGCGTCCCGTATTCCTGCATGCAGCACCCTAGTCAGTGACCGTTTCCATCGACTAAGCGAACAAGAGCTACATTTGGTGAGGGCATTCTACACGCTGGGCAGGGCCCCCGTGCTGCTCGTGAGCTTTGCTTGCAAACACCAGGGCAAGGCCCCCAGATTCCCGAGGGAGCTAAGAATGCGACCTTAAAGGTCGAGTAGCCCGAAGCTGGGCGGAGCTAGGACTGCAAGCCCGAGACGCGACTCTGAGCTCTGGATAGCCTGGGTATCTTCGTCTGAGGACACTTACAACCTCGGGTTTGGGTGCCACCTTTATCTACACCCCGGGATGGCACCTCTTTCTCCCAACAGGGGAAGGGATGCACTTGGAGGTCCACGGAACGCTGCAGAAGACGCCTGCTGCCAGCAGAGGGCGCGCTCCCCCTTAGGCAGCCAGAGCGCGGGGGCCCGCCCCCGTGGCGTAGCCCCTGGGCTCTCGGCTCCGCGCTCAGCGAGGCGCAATCGGTTTTGCCGAAATCCTCGGGCCAGGCAGAGCCTGGGAGCCTGGAGAATTCACCACGCAGTGTCCCACGCCACTGTGGTTTTCGCCGCCGCGTCGCGGCTTCCTGGGGTCGGGGATGCCTTGGGGCTGGCCCTGGGCTCGATCCGGGGCGCCCTGCAGCCGCACACCCAGCACAGGGGAGCGAGGGAGTGCAGAGAAGCGAGTCTCCCAGGGAACACCCAAGGGAGTAACCCACAACTGCCAGCTCCGGGTCCCGCACATAGCGCGCCAAGCACGGCCGCCCACAGGGCCCGCGCCGGCCCTGGTTCTGCACCTGCGTGGGCTTGGTTGAGGCCCCGCGCCGAAGCAGCGGCGCCCCGCGTCGTGGGAAGGCGTCCCGCGGAGAAGGCCCCGTGCGGTCGGGGCGTGGCCGCGCAGACGCCGCGCGGGGAGTCCTGGCCGGGGTCGCGAGCCCGGGCCCACGCCGTCCGCTTGCGCCCCCGGGGTGGCACTCAGCGACGGCCGGCGCGCGTCTGCGCGCTCCTCGCCATTCGCGGAGACGACGGCTGGACGGCCGAGGCCGGGGCTGCGGCCGGGACCCTTCTCCTTTTCCAGAGTTGTTTTGTTGAGAGACGAAGCCGACGTAGGCTGGGCTTTACATCGTGTCCAGGGGAGGTGCCCGGGCGCCCGCTGCTCAGGGGCGACCCCGGGCCACGCCGCGGGAGGCGGCTGCCTGCTAAGCCAGGATAGCGCTGCGCCGGCGAGCCCCTCGCCCTCTCCACGCCGCACTCCCGCCGGCGTCGGGGCGGGTCCGGGTGCAAGCCGCGGAGGAACGGCCGCATTGTTTCCGCCCCTCGGGTGGGGTCCTGAGGGGGAGGGGAGGTGCTGTCTCCTCGGGAGCCGCCCCGTCGCCCTCCCTGGGGACCCGCGCCCGGGCGCCCGGGCTTTGTGAGGTGTCTGGAGTCACCAGGGAAACCCAAAGGAACGCGCGGAGGGCCCCGCGGGGGGAGGGGTCAGCGGGTCTCGGCCCCCGAGCCCTCCGTCCCCTCTCGGACCCCGGCCCTGCGGCGGGGCCTGTCGGGAGTTGTAGTCCCAGGGCGGTGGCCGCGCGCGGCGCCGGGGATGCGGGGTGCCGCCTGTCCCCGCCTCCCCCTAACCTGCTAACTCGAGGTGGGGAGCGCAGAGGAGGAACCACGAGATCCCTGATTGGCCGAGGCCTCTCCCAGCCCCCACCCGGTCCCCCTCCCCCGCTCGCCACTTCGGACTCCCGCGCCCGGCGCGCAGAGGCTGCCACCGAGCGAGCGTTCCCGCAGCCGCCGCCGCCGCCCCGAGCACCCGCAGCTCCGGCGCCGCGGCGAGACGCAGAGACGGACGGACCCACGGACCTTCGCGGCCGCAGCATCCCGGAGGAGTGGGTGATGGCCGGGGGGCGGGGGGCTTGTCCACCCCGGGCTGGGACATCCCTCTCGCTCGCTCTCAGGTCTCCCTCGGGCGCACAAAAGGGACGGGTCCGGGTGCGCCCAGGGGCCCGGCCGCTGGGGACGCGGCGGGGGAGTGGCTTGGGGTGAGGGGGCCGCCACCCGCGAGAAGCTGGGGGCTGATCGAGTCCCCTTTGTACGCCCGCGGAGCACCGTGCGATGCCTCGCCTGCAGTAGGCGTTAAATGGGTGCTCGTGAGATTTGCAAAGAACTGGGGCGGGGAGGCGACTAGAGTGAAGGGATTCCGCGGCCAGCACATAGTAGGTGCCCTCCGCTCGCTCGTCCAGGTGCAGGGAATGGCTGGAGGGTGGGGCGAGGGCATGGCTGGCCGCCGGCCACTACCGCGGGGTCCCTAGGTCGGCGCCATCCCCCGCCCGGGCTCACCTCCCATGCACGCACAGTGCGCCCCGCGCCTTTGGGCTGCCATCTGCCCAGCCCGGACCAGACCCGTGGTCCGTTCCGCCCCCCAGGCTAACGGCGCGGACACCCGCGGAGGGCTAGCCCGCTGCCTGTGAGGCACCTGCCCGAGCCACAAAGGCCTCCAGCCGCTGCCGAGCCCGGGGCAGGCGCCATGCGGGCTCCCTGGGCTGCAGCGCCCGGCTGGAGCGCGCCCTGCAGCCGCGTTCTTGGCGGGCGACGGACGGCGACGCCCCAGGCCTGCGGCTGGCGGTGCTGCAGAGGAGCCGGGAAGGGGAGAGGTGGAGGCAGAGGCCTGGGGTCGGGAAAAGCTGGGAGAGGCTGGGGACCTGGGTGGTGCCCAGGTCTGGGGGAGGGGACCCGGGGACCGGGGTTTGGGGAGCAGCGAGAAGGGGGCGGGGCGGCTCCCCTGCGCGCGGCGCAGGTGGCGCGAGGCGCGGCTGGGCGAGAGGGAGAATGGGGAGGGAGGGCGGATGGGAGGGTGGGAGGCCGCCGGCGTCTGCGAAGGGAAGCCCGGAGGGAGGGAGGAGGAGACCCGCGCTGCGCGGGGGAGGGGTCCCTGGGGAAGCGAGGGAGGGGCGGGTCTCGGGCCTGGAGACCCCCGGCTCTGGGCGTGGTCCTCCGAGCCGGCCGAGGCACCGGGATGGCGGATCCTGGACAGGGCTGGGCCGGCCCTTAGAGGAGCTTTGTCTCCCGGTTCGGAACGCGCCCGTAGGGACGCGCGCAAGATCTGGGGAGAATGCGCAGCGCCCCGGCACGCCCTTTTCCCGCCCGGATGCGGCGGATGCGGGGATGGCTCCCGTCCGTGCTGAGTGCAGAACAATAGCCGGCCCCGGCGTCTGCCGGCGGCGCACCCCGGCCCCCGCAACGCACGTGCGCCGTGTTCTTGTGCAGAAAATGCCTGGGCGCGTGCGGTGTCTCTGGAGGTTGCGCTGGGGGCACGCGGCCCCACCAGGAATTCCAGGTGCGAGTCACGCATCCCCCAGCCTGTGGGGCCCCCGGGCCGGGCGCTGCCGCCCGCCCCGCGCTGTCCACTCGCAGCTGAGACGTGGTGGGGTCGGTGGCGCGCGGCGACGCACATCCCAGAGGCAGAGGTCGCCTCGGTGCGGAGCAGGTGCAGAGGCCACTCCTCGGAGCAGCCGGCTTTGTCTACCGAGACGGCCGGGGGCTGAGGGGCGGCTGTGCATTCCTAGCGGGAGCCATCAGGGCTGGTGCGGACCGGGGTGGAACCGCGGAGGAGCGGCAGTGTGCGTTACCCGCCCGGGGTGCGGCTCCTGTGTCGGCGCTGCGGCGTGGGGGGGTGGGGTGGGGGGCCAGTGCTGGCCTTTGCCTGTGACCACGCCCAAGCCAGTGCATCCTTTGCAGACTTCGCTGGTATTGTCTGCTGACCTGAGACTGGATGGCTGCGTGACAGGTGGTGGCTGTCTGCCCGTGGGAAAGCAGATGAACAGAAGGGAGACACACAGAGCCGGCTCAGCAGAGCTGTGTTGGTGCTCCTGGCCTTGCTGACCGCGGCAGCGCCTGGACCTGGATGTGGGAAGTGATGCTCCAAAGTCTATGGTAGTAGGTTAGCTTGTAAGTTAAAGGTGAATCTGCATCAGAAAGCCCATCATTTTAAACCATCATTCATTTGTTTAAAAAGCAAGGCAGGAGCCTGTTTACTCCAAGAGGGGAGGGCACTTGGTTGGAAAACAGAGCATCCTAGAACTAATCGATATCACTTACATTGGCCCCTCTTACCCCAGCCGTGAGACCCTAGGGTCTTCCTGCTTAGCCAGGCTGGTGCACACATCAGGTGAGGGCTGTCATGCGTCTGTTGGCTCTTGCCCAGGCAGCTGGCCCTCGCTCTGGTGGAGGTCTCTCTTGCTCACGGTGTCGGCACCAGGAGTCAGCATCAGGCCCTGTCTTGCTGGCTGTAAAGGGCGGTGCTCAGGAGGTGCCAGTCTGGTCTGGGGGGAGGATCCTGCCTGCTGCTCACTGGCATCTTTAAATCATCCACACACCTGTGTGTCTGAGCCCGCTCAGCTAGGGTACTTAAAACTAGGAACCCCAACGTCGGAAAGCCAGAAACCTGACAATGAAGGGTTCTTCTTATGGGAGAGCTGCAATCAGAAGTGCATGCTCCGTGTTGTCGCCCAAAGGGGAAAGGTTTCAGGAGGGACTGTTCTGTGGGTTTACCCTTTCTGCATAATTATGTGGATTTTTAAAGGGTGCCATCCGATTAAAGCCCATCCATGGAGCCCATAGATGAGAAACGCCAGTCAGGATGAGCACGCCAATTTTACAAGGAAGGGGGATAGAAAGCAGCACCCACACACACACTTGCACCCACCTTCCTGTGAAAACACCTGGGGGACAGAACCCAGAAAGTGGAGAGGCCAGTGGTCCCAGAGAAGGACTTGGTGTCCCCAGAATTCGACGCTTAACTCTCGTTTCCCTGAGCCTGGGGCTCTGAGCTACACGCAGAGACCTTCGCTGGCTGGGAAGATCTGGATTTCCTCAGCATTGCTTCTGGGCTGCAGACAGGAGCCAGGGTCAGCATCACCTCCCTGGGATGCAGAGGGGAGCCAGGGTCAGCATCACCTCCCAGGGCTGCAGACAGGAGCCAGGGTCAGCATCACCTCCCAAGGCTGCAGACAGGAGCCAGGGTCAGCATCACCTCCCTGGGATGCAGACAGAGCCAGGGTCAGCATCACCTCCCTGGGATGCAGACAGAGCCAGGGTAGTGAGTTGTTCTTGAGGCTCTGTGAGCTCCCTCTTTTTGAAAACAGCTTCACACCAAGGCCGGTTACGAGGTTGGCCAGATCAGGTTTAGGGGCCTGGTGTGTGGTATCTCCACCTCCCTCTGTCCTTCATAGCCCCCTGACTCAGGTTCAGTGTGATCTCACGTCAGCTCTACAAAGCTGCAGTCACAGGCCATAGCCACCCTGGGCAAGCCTCAGGGCAGGAGAGAGTCGTTTCTGTAGATCTTGGAGATAGGGCTTAGGGGAATGTCTAGAAGCAGAGGTGTTGGCGTTGGTGGACAGAATATCTGAGACCCACTCTGTCTTCTGGGGTGGACATACCAGTTTCTCAAAGACGCTGATCCAGTGTGTCCTTTTGTGCTGCTTTCTAAGCTACAAGAAAAGATCGCAGAGAAATCTTCTACGGCTTCTTTGATAGGATCCTGTAGGAGAACAGCAATGCAGAAAGTCTTTAGAGAAGTTGTTCTAATATGAGAGCAAATAAGAATAATTGTGGTTGGCCGGCGCCGCGGCTCACTAGGCTAATCCTCCGCCTAGCGGCGCCGGCACACCGGGTTCTAGTCCCGGTCGGGGCGCCGGATTCTGTCCCGGTTGCCCCTCTTCCAAGCCAGCCCTCTGCTGTGGCCCGGGAGTGCAGTGGAGGATGGCCCAGGTGCTTGGGCCCTGCACCCCATGGGAGACCAGGAAAAGCACCTGGCTCCTGGCTCCTGCCATCGGATCAGCGCGGTGCGCCGGCCGCAGCGCGCCGGCCGCGGCGGCCATTGGAGGGTGAACCAACGGCAAAAGGAAGACCTTTCTCTCTGTCTCTCTCTCTCACTGTCCACTCTGCCTGTCAAAAAAAAAAAAAAAAAAAAAAAAAAAAGAATAATTGTGGTTTACTTTTCATTTTTCAAGTGAGCAATGATTTGATTGCATTGCAGATTAATAAATATGAAATAATTTCAATATTGCCTTGCCTTAAATTTTTTATATGAAGATGAAAGCCTCAAGTGCTATAATGTGAATGTTTTATGAACTTTGATATTTATAAGTGGGCACAATTCTATACGATTCATGGAGGAACATTGTGATTGTTCTGTTGTAGTCTCTGAGACTCACTTTTTTTTTTTAAAGATTTGTTTTTTTTTTTTTATTTATTTGAGAGGTAAAATTACAGACAGAGAGAGGGAGAGACAGAGAGAGGAGTCTTCCATCTGCTGGTTCACTCCCCTGATGGCCCCAAAGGCCAGAGCTGTGCTGATCCGAAGCCAGGAGCCAGGAGCTTCTTCTGGGTCTCCTACATGGTTTTAGGGGCCTAAGCACATGGGCCATCTTCTACTGCTTTCCCAGGCCATAGCAGAGAGCTGGATCAGAAGTGGAGCAGCCGGGACTCGAACCAGCACCCACATGGCGTTCAGTGGACTGAACGGATGGGCTCATCCACTGAGCCCATCAGTGCCCCATCTCTGTGCCCTGATTTGTCCTTTTTTCCTTGCCTCCTCCTACTCAGACCCCTCCCCCCAAATCCAGGGAGGCAAGGTGCACCGGAGTGAGAGCTGCACTCTGAGCCAAAAAGCCTGGGTTCGAGGCCCAGCCCTGCTACAATCTGCCTCCCAGGGACCCAGTTTCCCCTTGTGTGCAGTGAGGATGGCTGTAGGAGCTCCCCCAAGGACCGTCTTGGATTCTATGGCTGAACATCCATTCAGAGCGGTAGGACAAGTATCACCCATGAGTGCTCATTAGGGGTTTTCACCGCTGTCATTGACACCCCACTCTCTTCCCACAAAACCGTA